ACTAAATTCAGGACTGGTCTCTTTGGGGGATATTGACATAGGACAGAGGCTGAAATTCCCCGGGGACGAAAATGATAAATAGTGCGCTGCTGGTTGGTGTTCTCTCAAATTTCCACCCCTACTGCAAGCTCACGGAGAGCACAGTCCTCCAATGGCAACGAACCTCCGATAAAAACTAGAGCTGCAGGTAGCCACACTGAAAGTGAGATTTGTTAGGAGCAGCCAGCAAGCAGGCAGGCAGCGAGCCGCGCTCATCGCAGGCTATCGATCCGCCTACATGCGGCGAACGCAAACTGACAATCGATCAATAATTTAAAATGTAAAGTTGCGGCAAGGCTGAGACTCTGACAAGCCAGTCGTTGAGTCACAAGCTAATCGTGTCACTACTCACGCCAGGCCAGTATCTGATTGGTCCGATGGACATAACAAGCGTTTGTTACCTCGGACATATTTTGTACTAATTGCGCCAAAAAAAACTTCTGCTTTTTGCTCTCTTCTTTTCGTGTTCTTCCTTAGGAACTCATACAAAGCGTAGTTTGGCGGTGAGATTTCGGCTTTGGCTACATTTTACAACAAGATTATTTTGAAGTGAGTTTGTGTAGAGGACTGAAAAAGGGCAGGATAAAATAAGGGTGCAATACAGAATAACAACAGTCCATTACCTCTAATTCCGTAGCTGCTCCAATAACGAGGCCCAGGGACTGCCCGACCAAAGCGGTTTGAACGCAAACCACGAGGAAGATCATGAATCGCGAGAACTCGGCCGGTTGGTCCGTCATCCAATAGACTATGATGCCATATATTAGCGGAAATGTTATCTTAGGAAGAAAACAACACAAGAGCTCAAAAGAAGGCGAAAGTTGATAAAGCGGATATCAGAAAAAAGGTATTCCGTGACCCTGAAAGGTATTGTGAAGGTAAGGAAAGTACAAGAAGCTGGCTGATTTCTACCAAGTTCACCGCAAAGGACTGATACTTTCATACAGTAAAGTGGACTCTATATATGTTTAGATTTTCCTCTGAAGAGTCAAGCGTCATTTCAAAATGATGTCAACACTTCCCCGTTTTCCAGCCCTGACGGTGGTTTTCGAGGTCGCTGTTGATGATCATCGCGGGTTCTTACGTTGTCGCCAACTTGTTGGTGGACTCTGCAGTCTGATGGGTCGCATCTCGGTGATGTTGCCGTGACTTCTACGGTTCCCTCTTCGTTTTGACCCCATTTTCCCCGACGAGCTCCTCTTGTCTCCCCCCATGATGCTATATGATTATTATACACGATAAGGAGCGTTCCGAATCCTAATCATCACGAAACCATCTCTTTGCATCATATATTATCACATCAATCCAAAGCACTTCCCTCTCCTAGACCTTTTTGGAAATGGGCGGCTTTCTGATTTCTGCCACGGAAGTAGGAGTTTCTTCACCGCCTTCTGAATTCACCACATTTACTTAATATTGTTGACTATTATTTCATGAGAAGGTCCGTTGTAAATCGCATCTGACTTACTATGTGTAACATACTGCTCATTCCTGTTGTTATAAATTTGCTCACGCGCAGCTGTGATTAATAAATTTATATTACTTTTTACCACAGTGCTAAGTTCGTTATAAAAGGGCCCCTTGGGCCTTACATATACAATTTATTTATTTATAAGTGACAAGCAAAGTTTGTTTTCGACGAAACCAGTTGGATTCTGCCGCTAATCAAACTTTACTGCTTTCCAAAGTACGAACACCCTACTTACACAGAAAGATGCTTAACCAATGAAAGACTGAAACAAGCCAGCCGACCGAAAATTATAATGTTATAGGCTTTACGGCAGAGCAGCGGTGCTCAGCCAAGAAAAACAAAGGGATTGTTTCCTGCGGTGAGCAGAGACAGTAAGGCGGAATTTCGAAACGGACCAACACCTGGTGCAGTGGCATTTCGGTTAACCAGTTTAATCCGTCCCAGCACCGAACTCGTATTGCGAATCGCTCGTCTTGCGAAACGTAGCCAATCAAAGTGTATCAGTTCACTGATTGGCTGAAGGCGACGGAGAATCCACGTCCTCGAAGCAAAGGCGGACACAGGGACACACACACGCACTGACAACTCTTTAACTGGGTGGAAGCTCTTCAGTCGAAACAAAGTTTCTGCTGGTGGCTCGCTCGGTACCTGAAATGCTCGTAGATGCAGCTGTTTGTTACCGGAAGTTTCACTGTACTGACAGGTGACTTTTTGGGCGAGCTGATGGCCAACCCACGGAATCCCCCTCTTATCGGGTTCTGCTCCATCTCTTTTATATGAGCGACCAAAATAGTTTATATGGTGCACAGCGCCATTAAAAGAGCACTCTCCACGAAAGCATTAAAAATGTTTTACACATAATATCAATAAAAAAAATCACTCG